GGGTGCGGGGATAGGGGTGGGGACGGAAACGGGGACGGGGACGGGGACGGGGACGGGGACGGGGACGGGGACGGAGGCGGGAGGCGTAGGTATGGATGGCGGCGGAGAGACAGAAGATACCCCATTGATTGAGGTAGTGTTAGGTTCTATAGATAAGAGAAAGGGGGGGGGGGAAAGCAGATATGTAGGAATTGACGTTAGCGGTGTTGAACTTACAATAAAATTATAAATGAGCATTTCAGGCGGGCGGACTAGTCAACCAATAGGTCTGGATATCGCAGGAGAACGGCGGACGTACCTGTCACACTGGCATTTGTAGATGTAGATATGATAGGAGGCGGGGGAGTATGCTGACGGCCATATTTGGGACGATGTTGATGTTGGTGTGGGTGCCAGGAGAGATGGCTCCCCGGGGAGGGAAGGGGAGGCAGTTGTCCGGTTGTAATCACGGACATGGAAGGTACGGGGCCATGATGGGAGCTAGGTATACTTGCATTCGAGGCGGATCCAGAAGGATTAGATGCGGGAACCATTGGCATCGGAGGGAAGTAATCTCCAAATTCCGCTGGACGTAGTTCATCAAGTTGACATCCTATATTGTGTTGTCTGGGCGAAGGTTTTGGTGTGCGGCGCTGAGAAACATCAATAATCAATGCTTCGTCTACGGTCTGTCCTCCGGGGTAGAAAGTGTCCAATGTGCGTCCGACGGGTTCCTCCGGACCAAGCACACGTTCCTGGGAGCTTGGTCGACTCGTCAGTTCTCGGGGAACGAGTTTTATAATGATGTCTGGAGAGTCAAAGGTGCGACCAAGGGAGTTGCTGTATTTTTTCAAGATGACGTCGCGCAGATCATCCACTAGATCATCCTCTGTAACTGTGACCAATGTCGGTGAGGAATTGGGCCGTCGAACCCATATCTTACGGTTGATCATCTCGCGATGGATGGCGGGAAGACCTCCGGAGAAGTAGTCTCCACCACCAAAGGAAGACGGTTCGAGGAGGGTGCTGATCAGGCGTTGTTGGGAAGAAGGAACGAGGGACTGACGACGGACGGCAATGCTAGGTCGTGGAACAGGTTTCACAGTGGTAGTAGTTTTGGAAGATGTGGCGGATGATACGGAGATATTTTGTTGTTGACGAGACTCATCAACGACGTTGAGAGACGGAGAGGATGCTGCAGACGCGAGAGGGAGGGGTTGTCGAGAAGACCGAAATATGGAGCTTTTTCCCTTTGCAGAGGAAGAAGATCTGGAGAATGAGAATTCTTCCAGGGCACGGAATGGGAGGCGGTCTTCTTTTGGGTCCAGAGCACGAGAGCTGCTCGACGAGGAGCGGTCGGAGGATCCTCCTGCCTCGTGGTCTGCGTCGACAGCAGCGGAAACGGGGAAACTGACAGCTGGGAGTTGGTTGACGTGTTCATCTGCTACCTCATCGTTTTCTTTATCCAGGGTTGATTGACGCAGTGGGTCATGAGCGAGATTCGGATCTTGATTTTGGTGCTGAATAGTTGTTGACCTGATGGAAAGGGTTCGAGTTTCGTCCCCACTCTGCAGCCTCCTGGGGGTTAGCTGGGAGAGAATGTTGGAGCTGTCATTAGTCGGGCTTTTGAACGAGGAGCCAAGGGAGGGTTCACAGGGGGAATTGGAAGAGAAAGCACGGTGCGGAGGCTGGGGTTGCAATTGAAGCTGCTGGAGCTGCAGCTGGTCGTCTTCGGGGATGCGTGCCGAGGGAGGAGGGGTGATGGAGCCCGTATGGGACGCCGTATGGGTCGTTGTATGGGCCGCCGTATGGGCATTAGGCTTATTGAGATTGACAGAGGTGGTACTGTTGCTGTTGCTGCTGTTCCTGGCAGCAATAATGTTGGCAGTGGTAATGTTGGTGCTAGTTGTGTTGGAGTTCGGGTTCGAAGAGTTAGGCGCAACAAAGTTTGCGGAAGACGAGGAAGACCGGCGCAGTAGTTTGGCTGTAAACCGCGACAGACGGCGCTCGCGATCCATGGGCATGGGCATGGCCCGCGGGAACAACGTAAATTATCTATCTCAATCAACAAACACTCCGGCGACCTTTGTGTGTCTCTACCGCATTGTTTGGATGTAGTGTATGTGCATACACACATACACACAAACATACACACACCTCTTGACGGTTGCTTGCTGAGATGGTTTTCAAGGGAGAAGAATAGGCCGTGAATGTATCTTTGGTGCCCGTAAAAAACAACAACTGAATAAGTTAACGGGCAAGTCAAGTGGATCGAGGCAATAGTCGAGAAGTCGCTTTCGTTAGCTGGGCTGACTAGTTATCTCAATTGGCACGGGGGATCCATCCATCCACCTCCACCCATGTATATCAGATGTTCGAGATGCGGTGGGGGGTCAGTCAGGCAGCTTAAAATTAAACAGCGGGACGTCGAATGGGCTTGTGAGGGCAGAAACGAGGGTCACGGACAACAGCAGCGCGTGGTTCCTGGGACAGTTCTAGCTCCAGGTCATCCCCAAGGTCAACCCGAGGCGTGCTGGCTGCTGCCAGAGAGTGTGTCGTTGTTCTGGCTGTGGTTGTGGATGTGGATGTGGTGGTCGAGGTTTGGCGGTGGTACATAAAACAAGAGGAGGAGACGACGCAACACGGGACAGGCCTTTGCACGCCTCAACGAGGGAGGGCAGTGAGGAGGGACACACTCAGAGACAACTAAGGTGATAAGATAAGTAAACATATTAGTATCGTGTGCTTAACCAGAGAGACGAAACAGCAGCACATGTTTCTGATCTTCTCATCCCAACGTCTCTGCTCTGCCACTTCTGCACTGCTCTCTTGCTTCTGGCCCAAATATCTTGGGCTGTAATTCTCGACACGCCGTCCACAGGGTGCCAGGTTTATTTAACACGGCATGGATATTCTGTTGACCGAGCTCTGATATGTTCAGAAATATATTACTATCTCTCCGATCATGAATAATGAATGTTGACATGCAGCCAGCATCCAATCCTCATTATCCTACATCCACCCACCTGGCGAGAGCAGCCTGGAATTGACCAATATAAAAGGTATGCATGTCCCCCGTCAGACACCGAAGAAAAAAGAAACGAAACGAAAAGAAAAGAAAAGAAAAGAAAAGAAAAGAACAACCCCCACAAACCCCACTCCCGTTCGATTTTCCAATTCCAACGCCCTTTATCAATTTCCCCTTCCCCTTCCGCACCCCGCTTCCCTTGTTCCAGACTGGATGGTTTGGCTCACATTCCATCATTCCCCCTTACTCACCCTTAACAACAGTACAGCACCCAATAATGATATTTATCCACACGTGTGGATTTCACCACAATATATATATATATATATATATATATATAATAAAATAAAATCTTCCCCGCTAAGAGTTGCCCTCGATTACACGGATATTTCTGTGTTAGGAGCTGAAAAGAGAGGAGGGTAAAGGCGGATGCGGACAGATGCAAGGGTGCACGGCAATGCTGTACGCCGCAGAGACCTAACTAATGAGATGAATGGATTTGGAGAGAGGAAACAAAACCAAAACCACCCGGGTAGAAATGACTCCAATCTATGCTTTGTTGTTGTAAGGCTTGCTTGCAGCTGGCGCGATGCATGACCTCGAGCCGTTATTCGTTTCGTTTAGGAGCGTTGGTATTGACTCGGGCAAAGGAATGGCCCCCTTGTCAGAGCGTTTATTCACGGCGCAGAGTCCTGAGGTCGTGAAGTGGATTTTATTTTTTGTAGGCATATTCTACTCTGGATATATACATACAATGTTACTATCTGTTTACATAACCTAAAGCAAGAGAAATAAAAGTTATACAAGAACACATAAACATACATGAACATGAACCTCAATCCAACACGAAAGTCTAATAATACAGCCTCTCCTTCTTACTCCGTATCCTCCACATTTACATAACTATACCGACTCTGCGATTCCAAGTCGACATCTCCAGCTGCATCTACCGCGTTCTCCGCATTGACGGAACCCTTTCCGATAACCACATTCCTAGCTGGTGCAGCTTCGAACGGATTCCGCTCCATGTGCACCCCCTTTTCAACAACAGCACCACAAACAGTAGTAGTAGTAGTAGTAGTAGGAGGAGGAGGAGGAGGAGGAGGAGGAGGAGGAGGCTCATAGCAAATGCCACCACGACCATCACAGCAACTGCTGCTGCTACCACTGATGGCTCTCCCGGAGCTCAGATATTCATCGATACTCATGCCAGATGCCTTGGCTGCCTTTCGCTCTTTGCAAAAATGGAGGCGCCAGATGATGTGGCTGGCAAAGATGCCGAGTTCGAGGATGAGGCTAGATCGGTTCTGTGAGTAAGGATAGTTTAACAATTAAATCTCAGTTTATGGAAAAGTCTTACACGACGATAAACATGATACCGCCTAGGATGTCGAAGGTTCCTTCAACGGCTGGGGGTGGAATGTATAAGCATATTTCTCGAATAATCTCTTCGTCCTCTTTTTCACTCAAGGTTGAAGTGAAGGGATATCTGGCATTGGTGTAAATGTATTATGTTTGCTTACCCAAAGCAAGTAGGGAGAAAACGGCGCCCAGGGTGTCCAGGGAGAGGAAGAACCAATCTTCGTTAAATCGCGAAGTCAATCCATCGAATTTCAAGCAGTGTGGGAAAGAGCTGGTATGTGAAATCAAGGGAAGAGAACATACTGATTCCAATCACTTGGCCGCTTCTTTTCCGCAGCTCGAAGTAGGGAGCAATGAGCCCTAACGCAATGAGGATGGTGGCGATTATCCCGATTAGCAGGGCTGGCCAAGTTATGCCCTTATTGTATGGAATCTGTGAATTGAGGTGAAAAACATCCGGGTTAGTTGCACCAAGTCGAACCATTTTCATAGGATATATATTCTCTCTCCTTTAGGGGCCCCATTATATGGTCGTATTATGTCAATGGCTCGCTAAGCTTACCCTCAAAGTAAGGATGAATAGAGCTTCACATCCACCCATAAGCGCCGCAGTTATTGCACCGGTGAAAACTGATTTTTTCAAGCTGTAGCCACTGTAATCCAGGAGGGTCAGTGAAATCAAGTTCAGCGTCTACGCATTTTATTTGTGGGAGACGGGCCAGGCTCACTGGTTATAATATAAAATTTGGACCCAGCAGATTGTACACAGCGAGCCAAATATTTGAGGTTGGATTTGGATAGGAATGTTCACTTGCTAAAATGGATGTTAAGAATAGGAGCGGCCTTTCTTCCCCTTGCATGAATCTCCGCGGAAACTCACCTGCAGAATCATGTAGATGCCGAAGGGCACAGAACCTGCTCGTTTAAGAGGGAATGTTTAGTGTTCGTTCATAACACATATTACAATTTTGCCCCCTATCCCAGTGGCAGTGGGAGTAATATCAAAATCTACTGGAGCAATAGGGGGTTAGACATACATAAAGCCCATAGAAACATCATACTCGCTGGCAATCCATCAGTTCTCTTATTCCTCCAATTATGCCATATCTGCGGCACGAGCTGGATGCACCAGAGCACAGTGCCAATGGTCCCAAGCACATTAGCCGCAACGGGAATCTTTCTAACTTCCGACATCCCTTCTTGAAAAGAGGTTGTCGAAAATCAATCAACAAGGAATTCGGGGTGGATCTTTCTCCCCAGTTATTATTTCATTCCTAAGACAGACCCAACCAAACAACTCCAAGCGACATTCAGGACAGATTATAGGCTAAGGACCAAAGATCTGAATATAACTTGTTTCCGTGCCTGGTCCAGCAGGGCGTGAAGTTTTTTGAACACTTTCTGTCTCACCGGGAGAGAGTGCAGTCTCAAACAGAGGAAACTGCAGTGAACGTAGTTCAGGTAACTAACTAGAAGAACCGCTAGCAGTCAAAAGGAAAGCCGGAGGAGAAGCTGAACTTCTCCTTAAGCGAGTCCGGATGTGATTTTTTCCCCCAAGCCTGGCAAGACCCCAGGGAACCATCAGATTGCGATAGCGGGATAGATAGCCAAGAGGATCCATAAAAAATGCTGGGGGAGTTGACTCGCTTCTCCAAACGTTTTCATCAGCGGGGTGAATCGGATCTCCAAATCTTGAGGGATCTGACTCTCATTTCGCTATCTTGTGATTGATGTGCCGTTGATATCTCTGGAGACGGAGCTATGAGCAGACTGCCAAACGTAATGCAGGGACTGGGGGTAAGGAGAAAGCTAGGGACGAGCTGATATAGAGAGAAGAAATGAAAACAGAGAACGAAGGATGTTCGTTTTCCTACATACAACAATAGAATTTGCCATCGCAAAGTTAACTACCTTGGTTTGAGCAGTCCCGGAGCCAATCGGCCCAATGGGAACGGACAACAGTCCTTTTGTACCGGATCATCATCTTCGAGAGGGAAGTGAAGTATAACAGTGAAAAACTAGGAAAACACGATGAAGATAACTCTCCTTTGCCCATCGGTCAGCGCTTGAACAGTAGTTGTGTGTAGAGTAGTTAAGTCGACCGACACTGGGCGAGAGATGAATGACGCAGACCTTAGTCAGAGGCTTTTGGCCTTGCCGAAATGCGGATTTCTCTTGCTTTGTCGACACCAATTGGCTTCAATTTAGCCAAATTCTTCGACATTCTAGCCATTGAGAGAGGCTAGAGAGAGATATGTATTACTCATTGGATTGATGAAAGAACTTTCATTCCATGGTCGATTCAGACCGAAGGTTTCCGCTGAGCGAAGCGCCCCTCTTCCAGGAGAAGACAAGCCGAACGTCATGTAAAGGAACGATTTGCATGTATATCTGATTAAAGTCCATTTTCTGCAGGAAATGGGTTGTGATGATACGACAGAAACTCGGCCAGTATGAGCAATAGCATTTGCTCAATTGGGTGCTTTCAAGGATTGCTTGCGCAACTCGAGCCATGGCGATGAAGGGACAACCCCTTTCCCGTGGAACCATACCCTTCATTTGAGTAGAATTGACTTTAGATCCTATTTATGAATCCGTTGAATCTGTGCTGCGCCGAATAAGCGCCCATCTTCGATGGTAAACTTGCTCCTCATCAACCCCCACGGTCAAGTCCCTGGCCTAGATCAGATAGATCCCTTGTCCAGAACAGACACTGCGCAGCAGCGACTGACGATACAATTTGATGGCTTAAGAGGGGGTTGATGCCATTCTTATCTTTGTGTCTTGTGCTGATCTTCTTCCTCTCCAAGGACATTGGGAGCCCCGCGTTCCGGCGCACACACACGTACCCACTGCATGTAAGTAGTTGTGCAGTCTGTACACCCAATTATTGTCTGTGCATGCTGCGACGAGGGAGCTGAATCCAGTCTCCTTCTGCAGATGCTGTGCAAGGACCAGCGCGACAGCAATTGTTTCTATTTTTAACATTTTCCACATTGGACCTCTGCACCCCCTATACATATATAAGAATCAGCCCTTGACAACTGCTG